ACATATTTGTATGGTAGCATGTTCTAAATAAACTTATATTTTTATTTAAATACTAAAATAAGGCATCTTTAACAACATAGTTACGCACATTTTATTCTATTTGAACTACACCACAGGGCACTTATTGCCAGAGAACACAAGCTCAGATCTTTTTAAGACAAATCAATTTTCATAAGAATGCAAACAATTATAAAAATAGTGCCAGTAAAAAAAATCAGAGGCACTGATCTACTGAGAATAATCTTTCGCCATTGTTATAGATTTCCGTGGAAAATAATTTTGGGAATTTTTTTGGTAAAATTAAGACCAATTAAAAATCTCTCAAAACAGAGAAAAATATGAACTTTGCACATATGTAAAACAAGTTTCAACTGACTTTTCCCAAATACCCCACCATGTGGAGTGTCGATTTCCCTATACCAGTCCCTTCTCCAATCACTTGCAAACCATTTGTAGTCTTCTGGGTATCCATCATTCTGAGCCACTGGCTAACTTATGTCACTTGTAACAATGTCATGACCACTAAGGATTTTTCAAAGACTCCTGAAAAATAAGAAGTAAATAAAACAATTAAAGAAAAATTAGGTTGAAGTTTGGGAAACAAAAAATAGCAACAATAATGCAGTTTGTATAATTTGTGGAAATGAATTCAGAAGAGTATTTCTTTAATGGAAAATACTTTTTTTCCAGTGCAGATTATGAACTCAAAACTTTAAATTAAGTCACACAATAGATTTAACTGCTTTAAGTCCTGAATTTGGAAGCTTATCTATTCTTTGCACTACAAGGTCTCACATATTTTCCAAGTGCAGAAATGTAGAAGTCTTGCTGGGCATCTCACTTTACTGCATCTAACTCTCAGAAAGAATGAACTTTAAAAATGGCCACAGTAAGATCCCATGGGGCTATAGGTTAGCGCTGAGGACCATTAAAAAAACAACCAACCAAAAAAACCCCACTGTTGCATCTTTCAAGACAGTGAATTTATGGCATAATAAACTGTTAGAAGTTTGTCCTACAAACATAACAATGTTTTACTACAGAAGGGCATTCTGCTGCTACTGCCATTTTTTGAAATTTCTCCTAATGTTAATTTAACAAAGTTATAGTCTTCCTTGCAAACTAAAGCTCTTCCACAGTTATCATTACTATGTAACTCCACTGCATATTTTACAAGTGACACTGAATATTCTATTTCAAATGACTCTTAAATTCAGAGTCAAAATTTTCTTTTCTCACCTATCACACATACACACAGACTCAGTTGTAGAGCACCACTTTAGTATGACCCAGGTGCACATCAGAAGGCAGCTCCTTAAGTCCATTCTTTCACTGGCACTGGGGTTAACTACACCTTGAATCAGCCAGCAAAACCAGGGAGGTAGAACTTCAGGGATCCAGTTCTGCTCCTGCTGACTTCCAATGGAACTAACTAGAATAAATACATATCTCTTCAAGATGCATGAGAAGTTAAGGTAAGCTGAACTGCAAAATCATCAACATAAAATCTTTCCTTCAGCCACAACTGTTCCCTTTTCAATACTTCCACTGAAAAGCATCTTCTCTCATACCACGATGTCCTTTCAACCCTTTCATACAGTACAGCATCAACTCAGACTCTAGTTCCTTTCAAAAAGGGAAATTTCTCAAGGCATTCTTTGAGACCAGTGCCAATACCAGTTCAACCCAAATGCATTTATAATATTTGGCAAGGCGAGACCCTACAGAACTGGACAGAATGCTAAAAACCAACAGAGCATCAATTAAAAACAGCAAAGTAGAACAATGCAACCACTCATTTCAAATCAGACCCCAAGGGCAACTTAAGACTGGGTCAAAATGAGATGACGGTATGTCACATTGACACTCTCAACGTGTTCAGCAGCACTTCTCAGAATTACGAGGCTGCAGCATGTAGAGCCAGTATACTCTGACTTTTAAAACTAGTGGTTGTAACAGAATAGAAGGCAAGAGCATGAAAATATCAATGCACATGCCTCAGAGCACATGTTTAATTTTCAAAGTAATGCTAGAAGGTGCATAAGAAATGGTATGGTCCTCGGCTTTTCACGCAAGGTGAAAAGTGATGAATTAGCTAAAAGTATGCACACTTGCTGAACTACAAAGGAAAAGCAAGCACTCCCAGTTTTTCACCCAGTGGCAACAGCACTATCACACTGCAACTCAACTATATTATCATATATTTAGTCTAGCCAAGAAGCTGATTTTTTAAATACAATAACAAGTAGTACAGATATCAACCTATATCATAGGTTATATCAGATAACACCCTAAAACACTTAATTTTACTCTTCAAGGGACTTTTAGTCAATTCCTTGGCCTGAAACAGTCTCAGCTCTCCATTGTAAATAAAAAACATAGCTTACATGACAGAAATTCTCCAAGAAATTTCTCACCACATAAATAAAACACACACTTAAAAGGTTAGTAACACTAATAAGCTGCAGGTTATTCCCTTTAATTCCTTTGGAAGTCCCTGTTTTCCCTGTCAGCCCTCTCAAAAGGAAAGCAAGTTGTTTTTTCCAATTATGTTCAGTCTCTGTTACTTCTTCTCTTCTTTTTAAAGCTTAAATACTGATCTGAGATGTACAATATCTCCCCCCAGCTATAATCACCCAGCAATAGTACTACAGTACTGGAGCAAAGACTTTTATTCCTCTTGTGAATATAGCAACTTTGAAAAAAATTAATTATCCTTTCAGTTCAAAGCCATAAACACAAAAAGCAAATAAAACAGGTCTGCCAATACTAGATATGCAGAGTGGTACTAAGAGGCCTGCCTATACTTTTCAAAGAGCTTGTAACATTGCAGGAAGTTATTGGTGATCTTTGCACAATCTATGAGAATTGGGCACGAGATCAAAAAAGCTGCCAAAAAACCAACAAAGGAAAAGACTGCTGCACCAAGTACTGAAACAATCCATTGTAGCCAAGTGCAATAAGTGTATTACAGATGCGAAAGTACACAGGAATGCACTTTCAAACTTACTGGATCACGTTCTAAAGCATTTATGCTACTTTCCTTCTTTTAGTCTGAATACTGAAAAATGTAATGCAAAATATGCTATGGACATGGCATAATTATGTAATTATAATTATGTTATGGTTATGCTTCCTTGAGGACATGAGGTAATCTAACAGTTCACTCCAGAACGGGGGGTGTCCTCTCTTCTATTTCTCTCCCCCCGCCTTCCCTGATAGCTCACATACTCATCAGACTTTCCATGAGCTAACTGAACTCACAGGAAAGCAAAAAACTCAGCAAAGCACAAGTTTTTCTGCTATTCCAGTGAGTTAAATTGGCCTATGAAAACTCCAATGACCTACAAAGCTGACAAGGCAGAAGACAGAAAACAAGGAAAAAGGGAATGATTGGAAAGATACAGTTTGATGGGTAAACTGTTAGACAGCTAAGGAATTGGCTGGATGACCACATCCAAAGAGTTGAAGCTTTATGCCCTAAGCAAAAACCAGTAATGAGTGGTGTCGCTCAAGGGCCCATATGGGGATCAATACCATTTACTGTCTTCAGCAGCGGGGCACAGACAGTGGGACCAGGTGCTCCCTCAGGGAGTTTGTGGATGACACCAAGCTGAGTGGTGCAACTGATGGGCTGGGGGGAAGAGGTGACATTCAGAGGGACCTGAAAGCAACTTTCTCTACGTTGCAGCCTGTAAGTGCTGGGCAGAATTGCAAATCTCCATGATGGGGGAGCAAACACAAATTTCTTTCCTGAAAGAAGTCTAACACAGACTAACCAAATTAAGATAAAACTGATGAAGTTTCAAAATAAACTAGGGTGCAAGTTTAGAAAGTTCTAAAAATTTCTTCTTCAGTCAGACTTGTCTTAAACATTCTCATACTAAATGCTTTTGTGGGTGTATGAGAAGCAACAGAGGCTACATGTTTTGCTGACAAAACATTCAGTTTTTCTGAAAAAAAAAAGTCAGTGTTTTAATATGGTTTAAACTAACGGCGTTTATTATAGCTGCAGTTAAGAGATGCAAGACTTCGGGAAGGCACTTGGTGCAGGCAGAGCCCTAATCTCTGCCCCACGGCAGTGGAAATGAGGGGCTAAGGGTGGATGGATGGATGGATGGATGGATGGATGGATGGATGGATGGATGGCAGGCAGTTGATCCAGCCCAGTGCGCGGGTCCTGCCCTTCCACACCGAAACGTGCCCAGCTCTTTCAGATAAACCTATGGTTAAACTGCCTCCTCAGTTCTTAATCCACATCCAGAGTGGTCCATACACTATGGAGAGACTGCAGAGGAAAAAAGCGTTTGTAGAGTTAATCGCTGAACACGAGAAGCCGCGCAAGGGGCGGGTGTGCACGGACACACACAGACGGCACCGAGCGCGTCCCTGGTTTACGGGGAGCGGAGGGGCCGCGTCCCTTCCCCACACAGCTACTGACATGAAATACTCAGTCGGCATTTCGGAACCCGGGACACCTCCCCGCTCTCCGCCGCAGCCACACCGAAGGGCCCGGACAGGCCGGGGCCGCCACTCTCCACCGGCCACAGCCCTCACCCGGCCCGTGGTGGACACGGCCTCCAGCCCCGCTCTCACTGCGGCTCCCACCGCTCCCGCGGCTCCCGGTTCCCGGCACTCCCGGCTCCCCGCGCAGCCCTGGGCCCCGTCGCGCGTGGCCGGCTCAGCCCGCCCGGCCGCCGCTGCCGCTGCTGCGCAGCTTCCGGCGCGCTCCCGCCGCCATTGCGGGCCCGCCCGCCCCGCTCCCGGCAGGCCGCGGGGGCGGAGCCGCTAGCGGCGGGTCGGGGCTGCGCTGGAGCCCTGCGAGCGGCCCCGGGTTATTTTCCGCTCCTTCCCGCCGCGTCCATCGCTCGGGTGGAGCGGTGGGAGGACGGCCTGAGGGCCGGTCTTCCGCGCCTCCCTGGGCGCCTGCAGCGGGAGGGCCCGGCACCTGCTTCCCCCGCCCCCTCGGTCCGGCAGCCGCAAGCTCCCGGGCGGGAGGGGCGGCCCCGGTAAAGGGAGAGACGGCGCTGCCGCCGCTCCGCGCCTTGCTCGGGGCACGGAGCTGATGATTAACCTGCGGTTCATTGAATACCTACCTGGCTCAAGTCGCGCCCGGGATGTGGTTTAACCTTGTCCGAGGTTTCGGTACCTCGGGCTTTGCCTTTCTGCCTGAGACCCTGGTGCTGCCAGTTTTGCTGCTACCGAAGCGCTGCGGGGATGTGCAGCTCCCCGTTGAAAATCTCTGCTGTTAATATCAGCCTAGACTTCACTTTACAGTCGTTTTTAGAGGTTTGAGGCTCCAGAGGTCGAGGTGATGTGGGACTCTCGGTCTCGGCGAGCATTTTTGCAGCAGCAGCAGCCTCGGGCTGCAGTAGCTGGCACTTGAATCCATGTTGGCTCCTTTTCCTCGGGCGTGAGCTGCAAGGAGCTCAGCAGCTTCGGCATTTAGGTCAGTGCTCTGCTTCTCTTACGTCAAGAAAGCTGTCAGTGTGGACCAAGCCAGCCTGCTCCCCGGGGCTGGAGGGAATGAGTCAGGGAATGGTTCTGGTGATAGCACAAAAAAATACCTTCTCTCTTACTGCCTGCCTCTGCTTTCCGGCCTCTGCTTTCCTGACACGTTAACCCTGGGTGCCTTTTTAAAAAGTGTTTAGCACTGTGTGATTTTCATCGCGAAATGATATGTTAGTATGATGGGTCCACTGTAACATCTATAATCTAGCTTTTTGCTGTAGTTATTCCTGTAATTTTTACAGCAGTGTTTTGAAGATTTAATTAATGTTTCAGGGTATTTTGCTCTATTGGAGGAAGCTGTTTGCCTGACCAGCGAAAGATTGTAATGAAACTTGCTAATAATTTTGTGGGAAGTCTTTTTTAATATTGATCCTGTGGTTTGGTTCATTAGTGCTTTCATTGTGGAGAATGTGGGTTTTTTCTGTGTACTTTCATCAGAAGCGCAAAGTACTTTTTGCGATGTTGAGTAGGAGAAGGAACTAATTTGCTTTACATCCATTGAGATGGGTGTTTCTATGGACACACTGCATTTGATTTGTATTTAATCTCTTCTTCTAGTGGCTCTCTTTAACTGTTAAAACTGTTCAAATAATGAAATCCACTGAATAAATGTTGTTTAATAGTTTCATTAGGTAGTTGTATGTATGCAGTAATTTTTCTCATGGCATTTTAGGACTCTCAGAGTATTGTGGGTTCAGCCCTAGTAATACTTGCTTATGGTTTAGTTTCTTATCGTTGTAGTGTAATTTTTTAGTTTTCCTAGGGGTGTCTAGGGTCCATTGGTAAATTAATTTACATTTGGGGACAGACTTTTTAACAGAGTCTGTGGCAATAGCACATGGAGCAATGGTTTTAATCTAAAAGGGGGTGTGTTCAAACTAAATATAATTAAGAAATACGTTGCAATGAGGTTGGTGAAACACTGGCACAGGTGGCACAGGTTACCCAGAGAGGTGGTGGATGCCCTGTCCCTGGAAACATTCAAGGTCATTTTGGTCAGAGCTCTGAGCAACCTGATGCCTCATTGAACATGTCCCTGCTTATTGAAGGATGGCTGGAGTAGGTGACCTTTAAAGGTCCCTTCCAACCCAAACTTTTCTATGATGTCAATTATTTTTCTATATACTGTTAAGTACCACAGTAGGATTTACTGGTATAACTTCTTTTTTCCTCCCTGATATTCAAATTGGTTAAAGGAAAGCTTGTGCCAAAGAAAGAATCCAGACCTGAGTTTTTCCATATGCTTGAGGAAGAGAATTTGCGTGTTGGCAAAGAAAAGAAACTGACATTTTTCATCTCACGATACAATAGAAATTCAGTTGTGCTGAACAAAACAGTCCTAAAGTAATAATTGCTACATTATGCCAACCCCGCAGACACCAGGAATTGATTTGAGTGTTCCAGATGTGGACTGGTAATGACTTTGGGATCTAGTTAGACTGCTGTTTGCTCAAATCTAGTTTTCTCTGACGTGTTGTGTTAATTTGGTTAGATTTGGTTTAGATTTAACTAACAATATATGAGCACATGGCTTATTTCTTGTTTTACTGACTTCTGTCTTTACCTTTTGAAACTATTTTTTCTTAACATAGAGTAGAAGGGTTTTTAGATACAATTTTTGAAACTGCTTTGATTCAGGCGAGTGAACGAACATAAATACCCAATTTAACTTTCTAAATCTGGGTATTATCATCTTGTTGCACTCTTTTTCAAGCGTAATTTGCCAACTTTGTCATTACATTGACAGTAAAGACTCATAGAGGCTCCTCCCAGGCCTCTCCAAGATGAACTCTGAAACGAGTTTAATGAGTTTAATTTGTTTAAGGCTTGATATGCATGCTGCTTTCAAAGAGCAACATATCTGTACAAGAAACCATTGTCTAGAACATACTTAGTAATATTGGGGAAATAAAATTCAGGGCGTATATTTAGAAAATTGTACTCAGGCTGAGAACATATGCTATTATGTGTGTCTTCTAAAAATATTTTCACATGCAAATTACACACCCGTTGGCTGCTTATTTCTAACCAGATTGTTGCTGCATGATGGTCCCTGAGAAACTGAATATGGAGTGGGAGGTACCAGCTGAAAACTTTTGCTCTGAAGATTTTGTTTCTTGGGTTTTACGCTTGCTTGATTTTTCTTCCTCTTTTTCCAAAAACTGACATAAGAACACTAAAATTTAAACTTGCAAAGTGCCATTTTGGAAAGGTAAGAGTAATAAAGTAACTGATTATATGTATAGCTCTTTTTCTCTGTTTAATGCTTAAATATGTTAGTGATGTTCTGTTGTCAAATATGGACTACAAGAAAGCTTAGTCACCATCATCTCACTTTGATAATTTCTCTGTATATAAAGTCAAGGTGACTGTGATTGTAAACTTTCTTGCATTTCATAACTATTTTTAAGCCAACAACCTACTAACGTTATTGATTTTAATGTGTACATGTAGTATCCTTTGGCTATTCCATCGCAGTATTTTAACCAAAGGGAGGGATATCTTTTTTGAGACAGAGGTTATAAAATCAGTAGCTAAAATAAGAGGCCAGGTTCTTTTTTGTCAACTGCTGTCTGTTTAAACCCTTCTCTTTTTTCTGAATTAGAAACCTCTTATATTTTTACACCTTTTTTCCCTTGTACTTTTTGAAAAGAAGTGCTACATTTTTTCCTTACTATGGTATCTGTAGCCTTGCCAGAGGATAAGAAATCTATATATTGCTCTGAGTCGAAGGTAAACTTCTTTTTTTCTTCTTGGATCTCATAAGAGTGCCTTTTATTTTGTCATCCTTAACAGGAACATGTTCTTTGCCCTGTGGCAAAGAGAGAAACTGAACACTTTAGACTTGATGTAGTGTTCTCAGAAATCACTGTAAAGATTTCCATTTGGGAGTTTCAGCTGGCCTTCAAAATACTTTTTCTTAATTTTCATTCTATTATTTCAATTATTTTACCTCCCTTTCCTACAGCCTGCAGGCTTCTGATCCTATTCCTGTAGGAAACAATAGCCAAGACTTAACTTACTAGCTCTTGTGTTTTCAGAAACAAATTATTTTCAGGAATATTTCTAGTGGGAAAATACCAATGATGAAATGTTGATGGAAGAAATTGAATGGGACTCAGCATGAGGTAATATAACAATGGTCAAACAAAATTCATATCTCTGTAATGGCAATGATATTGGCTAGCTTGATGTTAAGGACTTGAAAAGCTGAAGTGGAAATTTGGTTAAAAGACATACAAAGTAAAAAGCATTAGAGCAAGACAAGTGTTTTGAAATTAAGTGAACAAATAGGTAGTATTTGCCCAGATATGTTAGTTTCTGGTTTCATAAGTTAATTGGTGTTGCTCTTTTAAGGCGGGTTGTATTTCACTCTCCTTTTGTTTGGCCTTTATACTAGTTTTCCCTTTCCCTGCATGAAAGTCTGAGATTTCTAAGGTGGCTTTTAGTTTTAACTGGCTTACATCAGAATTCAAAGACATGTTATCAGTAAGGTGATTTATTTGTTTTGAGAATCTTGGTTTTCAGCAATAGCAGCTGAAGGCAGTGTTTTACTGGACTTAGCACATTTTACACCATTCCAATTTTCCTATCTCTATTTTGTGTGTATTTATAAAAGGGAAATTAATGCCAAATTATAGCTATGCAAATAAATAATATTTGGTATAACACATGACACTTTGAAAAAGAATTTTAATTGTTTCATTCTGTTTTCAAAGTAACTTTGAAGGCTGTTTTGTTTTCTTGAAAATAAGTGGTAATCAAACATAGTAATTAGAGTTGAACCCTTATGACTCTTGGGAAAAAAACTTCTAAATATCTTGCCTGCAGAACCTGATTCCTGTGTTTGCAGAACAAAGAATATTAAGTAACACACTAGCCAAGAAATTAGACAATTCTTGTTACACTCCATAACGTGCTTCAAGACATTTTTCGTATATTACAGTACAAAAGGAAGAGGTCTCTTCAAGCAAACTGATTCTGAGTTGGCAAGATGTCGATCCATACTGAGTAAGAAGAAGGAGCAATGATACATTTTATGAAGTTTTAAAATGACAGATTGTCCATTCTTACCTCGTTAAGCTTATAGTGTTACCTACCAATTAGAGACTTCTCCCTCTGGTACTTACAGCACTCGAGCTAAATTTTATCTCTATTGTTTTGTGGTTCTTTTCTTATTTAGTCTTGCATGTTTTTGCTTTCTACAGTCCCATTTGGGGAAACGTCTGTCCTTTGTGAGGATGCCAGTACAGTTATAGCCACTGACACTATACATGACCAGAGGCTCCAGTTTCTGGCATCTCTTTCTAGTAAGTGCTGTGTAAAGGCAAAGAAATGCTAATGCTTATTCTGAAGAGTTTAAAAAAATACCTGTTCTATCTCCTCTTTCTTGAATTGCCAGTATATTGCATACTTACCTGATTTTTCACAGAATTGCATGAGTCTAAATGGTTTGTTAAACTTGGTGGGACTAATTCTGTGTGAACTTAAAGCCTTTGCAAAATCTTTCCTGTTTCTAAATTATCCTTTGATGGGGTTTTTTAATGTCTGAAAAATGTAGTATCACGCTTGATTGTTAATATGTTTGTGAATGTATTTGTTAATATATTTGTGAAACAGCTAGTAAATCTGATGATATGAATAAATTTCTTAGGTAGGGATAATGAAAGAAAATAATTTATATTTATGAAGTAGAACATAGATGGGTTTATATTTTTATATTATATATTATTTTTATACGACAGATTTTATTTTGTGGTGCTGAAACACCACATCATGATTGAGTTTTGTTACTCTAATTGCTGTAAGAATACATGTGGTTCTACACCCTCAAAAAGCAAGTATTTTGGGCCTGGAGACCACTATCCTTCTCTAAATAAAAGATTTTTAAAAATCCTCAAAGTATTTTTAGAACATTTTGCTGTAATTCTTGGATCCTGTGTTGGTGAGGGATGTGGGAAGTAAATGGGGCAATGATGGTGGTAACAAAAAAACTATTACATTTTTTCCCTAGCGCCTGACATATCAATAGTTCAACCTCTAGCTGAAACCAGATATTACTAACTTCTTGTTTGCTGATGCAAATTTATCACCCCTCTTATTCTCAAGTGTTGCAGGTTATTGGCCTGTTAGATGCATCTAATTGTCCTCTTCCCTCTCAATCTCTCAACCTTCCTTTATACTTTAAAATTAGAGATAATATATTTCAAAGCTATTGTAATGTTTAGTAATTATTCTACATAAAGCATCACTTCTACCTCTGCCTTTAAAACAGAAGGGAATGGCTGTAATTTTCCTTTTCGGTCTCATAGTGCTTTTTCCTTATATCAGAAATGTTGTTAACTAGTCACACTGGCAATTTTCATATAACCTGTGGTGTGCTAATGCAGAACTTTTGTGCTGATGTCATTTTCTGTAAACAATACAATATAATTGACACTAACAATTCTTTCTTTCTCTTTTTTTTTTTCTTTTCTTTTTTGCTTGTTTTCTATTGAAAGTCGTCAGGAAAGTATTTTCACACCTCAGCCAAAACTCAAACCCAATCATCTACTTTTTATATGGCAACAGTGCCTAGCAAGGTGGGGACACATCTGTCTTGATAGGATGTCATGAGAGCATCTCCTTGCAATTTGTTTCTCTTCCCTCAGACAAGGTGCCAGCACAGTGACTTGTTCCTTGGTAGTCAGGTATTGAACTTCCTGCCTCAACTAGAATGCCAAATACTATACTCCTATAAAAAGTTGAAAACATGGAAATGCAGTTAGTTTTGCCACAAACAACTATTCTCTAAGAAAATTTTACTGTCTAAAATACAAAAGCAATATAGTTTGGTGTTAAAAGGGAATGGTGTTAAAAGGTGTTAAATAATATTTAGTAGAATCGATTGTTCAGCTTTGTTAATCAGACAAAATATTAAAGATTCTCGACACAAGTATAAAATTAAATTTCTACCTAAAGTAGAAATTTGCTGGTGAAGATGGCCTGTCAGTTTGGGGATCCATCTGATCTCTCATTTATGGGTTTAGAATTGCTTGCTTGATTCCCATCTCTTGCTGATTCATACGTGCATCTTTCAAGCATGTCCCTTTCTTTCATGGCCCTGTGGTTGATGCATGTGCACCATCACATGAACTTATTTCTGCCACTTATCCGCAACTTTGTTGAGAGGTCTAAATTTAACTCTTTTTGTATGTAGTTAAGAGAAAATTGTTGAAGTACCATGTACTTTAAGAGCTGGTATATCAGGTCAAATAGGGAGAGGCCCTATGCAACCTAGCATACAGCAGTGACTGTTAATGAATGCTTGGAGAAGGCATGTAAATAATGTCTGGAACTGTAGAATTGAAAAGGTTTTCAGTGTATTTAAAAAATTCCAGAGCCTGGTGTTTTAAAATGCCTTTCTGGTAGGCCTAAGACCAGGCTTATCAAAGCTGCTAAAGTAAATTTCTTTTTTTCTATATAACCTTGTGCTGTTTATTTCTTGTTGTTGTTACCACTTAAATAGTACTTATATGATTTACAATAAAGTGTGCAAAGTATTAATGTTTGCAGTTACTTACAATAGCAGGTAATAAATATTTAAATAAAATAATTTTTTAGAAAATAATGTTTTTTCTCTGTTTAATTTATGTGGCAGAGTTCATATATTGCCATACAGCATAGATAAAATGTTACTGTATTTCTTGCTTCAGTACAAAGGACAATACTGAGCTAATATAAGGCAAATTTATTTTCTAATTCAGCTTGTGTGATTGGCTAATCATGGTTTTATAAAACTTTTCAATTTTTTTTTTACCTTTGGATTTTTGTGGTTTTTTTCTTTTTTTTTTTTAATTAGTAATGCTGTACCATATTAAATCACTTCTTCATGCATGAAACAAAAGTGTAAACTTAAACAGAAATGAAAAATGGAGGTCCTTATCAGAGCAAAACTGGAGGAGCAAAACAGACGGCAGGACTAAAGTAGAGGTTCCCAACTTAGTCTGCTGAAGTTTGGTCACTGATGTTGATAACTACGGGACTGTTGCTGCCAGTGATGTTGATTTCTCTGGTTTTATAGGTATCTCTCAGAGCAGGACCTCTATTCTGCATTCATCAACCTGTGAAACACACCTGAAACCAGGACCTGGCTCTGTGCTTTTGCCTCACTTAGTGGTGTTTTACCACTTACTTCCTTTTCTCATCTATCAGAATCTGCCCCTGTACTGGCAAGGCCCCCTTTGAAAATTGCTCTCACAACAGTACCTGCTTAAAAGACATTTAAAATGAAATGGAGGCATGGTGCTGGTGTTATGGGTGTAGCTAGGAAGTACTATAATGTTCCATGCTTAGGAATAATGTATGACAAGGTCCCACAAACCCTTCTGCAGATAAGTAATGGTATCAAAGGCAGTCGAGTGCATTTGATTAAGGATTACATGTGATTAGTGGTCTGCAAGGTTAGGAGTACAACTTATATCATTAATGAGTATTCACATATTAATGCTGCTTTGAGCAGGAGGTTGAACTAGATGACCTCTGGGGTCTGTTCCAACTGGAATGATTTTTTGATTATCACACTTGTATTATGCAAATAGGTATTTTATTTGTAAAAAAATAATTAACTGAATAAACTAACCTCTAGCAGATCATTGCCATTATTTTACCTATTGCATAATGTTCTAGCATGGAGTTGCAAATTTCACCCAAGTTTAAGATTTAAAACAGTAAGAGAAATACACCCATGCCTTCTTGTGTATTGCTTCATATTCCTTGTATACAGTTTTAAGTCAGTTTGAGTTCCTTGTACAGCTATTCCTTCCTAGCATACAGTTGAGTTGGTTCCAGTACTGGAACTAGTCCAGAGTAGAGTGCCTGAAAATGATGCTTTATGTGCAGTTGAACTGTATGAATGGGCTTAAGCTTATTTTGCCTAATTCAGGTACCACTAGTGTCAACACTACAGTAACAAAGCTATCACTGCAGGTTAGCAGCCTAAGAAAGGCTTGAGGTCTTTCCAGACTTTCCAAACCAAGGACTCTGAGTGTGAAAGGGCATTCTTATATTTAAAAAAAAAAAATTCCTAACCCACCACCACCCCAAAAAATACCCAACAAACACCACCACTGTTAGAGTATACTGTGTAGATTCTGAATATACATAGATGTTGAGATGCAACTGATTGAGTTTAATAAACAACAAATGTTAATTGAATATTAAGATGGACAGTATTTTTATTTAAGAAGTTGTATTTTGATTAACAATAGTATGATCCTTCTCATGTGCAGGGAATTCATATGAATTTCCTTCCTGGTTTTGGATAAAATTTGTTTCCATTGATACCTCTTTAACTGTTCTCATTTAGTGTTGTTAATTATTTACTCTTAAGTGAGAAATTGGTGATAAGAGAGGAAATCTCAAAATTACTGCTTGGATATAGGTGAGTAAAGGGCCAATCACATTCACGTGCGTGTGATCAGAAATGTTTTTATGTAACATTTTAACACTTCCAAATATGTAAATTAATGTCAGTAACAGGATGTGGTTGTCATGTCTTATTGGTAGCAGTGTATTTCAGGGAAACATTTGGTTGTATGCTTTTATTTAAAAATACAAGGAGGATGGTAACATTGCAAGCATTGTTTGAAGGACTTGACGTGTCTCTTGGACTCTCAGGGAGTACAGAAAACAATTAAAAGGAATAAGAGGTGCTAGGAAGAAGTGGAGTTATTTCTTTATGCTACTCTTCACCACAGAGATGTCATATACATTTTATTCTTTTCAAATAATATCGATGGTAAATTATGTGATTATGGGATTAGAGAATCAAAAGACTAAATGCTAGAATAAAGTGCTGAAGACTCCTAAGTCGTAAGGACTTGATGCTGTTCATTCATTTAGTCCTTCTAAATGATGAAGTGGCTGATCTGCTAAGAAGAATGCATCTCGTTAGGATGAGATGCTGTGCCAGAGGACCAGAAGCTATCAAGTGTTGCACGTAATGTACTTTTAAACTGAGCACAAGGAGCAGAACTGGAATTTGCAGACCAAGGACTCTTATTTTAATGCCACTTAAGTAGGTTTGAATTCTGCATGGATAATCAAGTAGTTCTGTGAGCACAAGATCCAACAGCCACTAGCTTCCCATGTAGTTGTATCTTAGAGGGAATGAAAAATACCAGCTGCAGCTGGGGTAGTTGTAAGGTGTGTCTCTTATCTAGGTACTTGTTCCCTAAGAGCATGGGCATATGCTCCAGTCTGTACTTCACTTTGGTCAGTTTCTGTGTTGGTCTTCTCTGTCCACCTGCCCAGTACTTGGAATTCTGAATTCTTATTAAAATGTAAATGACTTTTCAACTTTTGTCTTTGACAAACTTTGAAATCAGATGGTGGATTCAAAAGTTAGAAAAGGTCCGACCTAACTTAAGCAGACATGTTAAACAGCAGAAATCTCTCCTGTGATTAGCAATCTAAACGATGATCTAAGTTGCTTCTGTTGTTAGTGGAAAAGACACAGATGCACCCATGTATCCGTATGCTCACACACCGCATGTAGTTCATCCCACCTTAAACTGGCAGTGTATGGCCTCTGGCAGGAAACTGTAACCCAAGCAGTTTTGGTGTGGCCCTACAAGCACTGGCAGTTGTAGCTGCAATTAGCTAATGTGGTGTTGTTTGCTCCCTTTCCCTGCAATTGTATTAGCACAGTCATTTGTGCTGTCATGCAGTGACTTGAGTCAGAATATTGATCCTGAGGAGCCTATGGCAAGCAGCAATTTTTAACCCAAGTCAGTTCCTCAATATGGTGTAGTGGGTGGTTCCACCAGCAGATGCATCCACACAAATGTGGTCATGGCACAAGGACGAGAACAAGCACCATGAGGGTCATCTCTGTTTGAACTGGCATTTTACCAGAATAGATGCTCATCCAATTATGCCTCTAAAATCTGTCTTAGATGTGATTCATCTTGTCCTCAAATAAGCATCCAAAGTAAAATGCTGCATACATTCTGTAAAATGGGAGAAAGTTGTGAGGAACTCGAGGGCAGCCTTCTAAAGCTGGCTATATAAGCATAACACTGGTAGATGTCATTCAGTATTTGTAGTTATAAAATAATTAAAACTGGAAGGAATAACTTGAACTACTTGTAATATAATTCTATATTACAAGTAAACATTCTGCAAAAATACATGTATCATTATAGATACCCTTATGAAAACTTCTTTGCAGAGAAGAAGTATATAATGTATGAGACAGCCCTAAAATTTATTGAAATGGTGCTCTGCAGTAGCATTAAATGGAAGTTCTTTATCTGAGTCTTTCTGCTCAAATGAATGGTCCATCTGTTTTCCTTAATTCCTTTATATTTCATCAGTCACTGCATATACATACCCTTCATGTGGTTTTAAATGCTATTGATAAGCAACAAGTTCTTGAAAACCAACTAAATTATTTTCAGTAAGTTTACAGAAAATAAAGCTGCTGTATTTCTCGCTTTCAGTTCAATTTCTTCAGATTATCTGTAAATTTTCAATAATGGCAATACATTCATTCTGCCATTTGGAGGAGCCTGTGCCACAGAATAATGATCTGAAGAAAGCTCACTTATTTGCAAGGAAGAGTCTTCATTTGGGAATTAGCACCGATGCAGCTAAGAGGTGCTTCCTCAAGTTCAGGTAAGTTTTCTTAAATTATCCTTATTTGGGTTTGGTATGCTGGCATTTCATTCTAATTGGCATATATGCAGTGTCCTGTCAGACCCTTTGTGTTGGTCATTTGACACGTGAAGTATCTTGAAATGGAAAGGCATATGCAGTAGCACACATACTTAGGAGATGCATGGAGGGAAATTTTTGTCTGGAAAATAATTTTAGCACCACTTATTATCTCTGGAGTAGCTGTTGATGGAGAATATGATGATCTTAATGACACAATTCCCTTTTGCTGAAAGCTTTTTCATAATTTTCTTATGTGTTTATTATATGAATTCAGTATTTTGCTAAGCCAGGAGTTGTTGGATCTAAATGTTAGTTATTAGGTCTCAAATCATTCAGAGGAAGTAAAAAGGAAGTCACAGACAGGTTTTCACAACTTGGAAATTTTTCTATTTAAAAAAATCAGCTTTTGAATTTTGTGCCAGTAATTTTTTTTTTCCTAAAATAGATCCTTAAATCTGGGCATTGTAACATTGGATCAGAATTTAATTTTAGACAAATGGTTATAGTACATCGTATTTATTTTTTTTCAAGACAGCCAGTTATTTTTATAACATTAATGACTTCACAGCAGAAATTGGTTTATGGTCATGTTCTGCATGGGAATTCTATGCAATGTACATTCAATAAGAAATATTAGAAGTAGATTAATAGAATACTGTGAATATTTAAACAGGTACTTGATTTTTTTTTGTGTTCTCTCACACAAAAAAGATGAGGATTCTCTCACCAAGAGAACTCACTACGAGTTTGGTATTTTAACCAACAGCCAAACAAGTGATAATTTGGAAAAAAGCCAAACAAACAAATGCTTCATATCAGAATGGCAGGGTACAGTTCATCACCCTTTTCAGTGGTGCACAAATATAGAATCTTTTCATGATACCTGTCTACCTTGTTGCTAAATTACTGGATCACTTGCATCTTTGTAGACACAGAAGCCTTAACAATACCATTTGTCTTTCTAAAAATCCTACAGAATTAAAAGTACTTGATTTTTCAAATTTAATACTATGATGTCCTTGGGGTCTAGAAACCAAGGCTCCTGCTCTGTATGTTTTTGTGCACATACTTAACTTCTTATCAGTGCCTCCTTCCTGATGCTAAGAACTTTAGTGACATGGAAGGAACATCACTTCTTTAGTGTAAGCCTTTAGTTTAGTCCCCTTATACTTAAAGAAAACGCAAAGATATGCTTTATAAATGTAGTGGATAATTAAAAATCAGAAACTAGTTAAGAAAAACTTTTGAACTGTTAACATACTCCAAACAGGAACAGCAGTAATGAAAAGGAGGCTTTTGCTTCAGTGAACTTCTAAAAGTTGAAATGCATTTCAATAAAACACAAACCACAGAATTCACAAAACTGAATTTATTCCGGAGATAATGCTTAAATTTTCTGGTCTTATTTTACAATATGAATGCTATGAATAATGCCCACAAGGTACAATTTTAAAATGCTTTTTTATAAATGCTACAGAGTTATAAAAACTGAGGGCTTTGACTTTATTTTTAATGTAGTTGAACAACCATATATATTCTGAAGCTTATTAGGCTTTCCTGTTGGTGAGAAGGGGTTCTGGCTGTACATGAAGTCAAACTTTTATTGAACACCATTCCACAGAACCCAAAGTAGGACAAGAGCAAAACAGAAACCAAGTTCAGTGTTATTCATAATAATGCTTTCAATGTCTATAATACGGATATTGAGAGCAGCAAGGGTATTTTTTTTAACTCTTTCAGCAGAACTGTTATTGTTTCACCTCTGGTACATGGACAAAACTGGGTTTTCTTCATAGATCAGGATTCCTGGACCTGAAGAGTAAGAAGGTAAAGTATTTGAGATTATATTATTTCAGCAAGCTGTTAAGTAGTTTCAGTTACTTGTAATGCACACAAATACACAAAAATATTGATTTATCATGCATCAACAAGTCTTAAATATTTTATGTCAATTTCTGTTTGTTGGTTGTTTTTTTCCTTTTTTGTCTGATGGGTGGAATTTCTGAAAGTATTCAGCTCTGCTTTCTAGATGTGTTTTCTGTGAAATCAGTGAGCTGAGCTGACCTGAGTGGGAATAAAGGTTGGTTTATCTTTAGTGAGACCAAGTTAAGTTGTCAATAACTGATGTTGAAATCCCATCCTTGAAATGCTAAGTCTTTGACATTCAGTGGGATGAGAATCTAAGAAGAGACTACTGGGGACTCCCGAGCTACAGTTCAGGTAAATAACTTCTTTGGAGGAGGAAATTAAAGGTTTCTTCTTTTCAAAGTTATGATAATTAAGTAGCAAAGGGTGCAACTTAAATTATAAATACTTTCCATTTAACATTTAATTTAAAATAGATATGCCTCTATTTGTGAGAGGATTTGTTAACTGCAGTTTGAGCATTATATAGTTATCTAACATTTCAGCAGTACTGTTCCCAAAGAGTACTTCTACACTGACACAGAACATGAATGTCTAGTGCTAATTCCAACCACATTTTTATTTTGTTTCCAACACATAGCTATGAGTGTGTAGCTAGTTTAACTACTACAATTTCCATTTTGTAAAGACAGAGTTCCCAGTCTTTTGGTAATGCGTGCATAATTTAGAAGTAACAGCTTTTATATTGGAGAGTAAGTGTTAGGGGTTCTGTTCAGATCATGGGATTAATTTGGTTTGTTTCCTGCTCCAGCTGGTCCCTACTTTCTCCAAGTACAGGGACGGGGTAGCTCAGTGGTTTGTGTTGTGACAGCTCAGTATAGTTTGTAACCTAGAGCTTTAAAGTCACCCGGAACTTGCAAAGTACAGTGGTGTAGCAGGTACTGCTACCTCAGTAACAGAGACAGGAAACATGGAGAGAAACAATGGCAACAGGAACTGCTATGGCTGTCTCCAGTAACTTGTCCTAGTTAATCATCCAGGGTCCTCCTTCACTCTCTGTTTTTGGGGGAGGAGGAAAAAGTGGAAAACTGTTCTGTAACTGTTAGAGAAAGAGCAATAAATTTTCCTAGTTAAAACCAAAAAGTTCTTCTTCTATGTGATCGTGTTTCAAAGAGAAAACATTAAAGATCTGGGGATTTGTTTTTAAGACTTACCCAGTTTCAACTATAGACTTACTTCCTTACCTTCTTCAAAATCAGAAAGATACTATAAAAGATCAGAATTTTGAGATCAAGGTCAAGAATAAAAATGGAGAGTATTTTAAGATAAAAGATTACAACAAATCAAAGAAATACATGTATTACCTTTTTAGACATTTAACTTCAATGAACCATTAACATCAATGAGATAGATTTTTGGATTTGCTATGTTCAGTTCTATAGGCAATATAGAATGTGAGAGAAACAGGTGCATCTGAAGTAGATCATCTGGTTTAAGAAAGTAAGCAACTGTTCCTGCCAAGCAATTGGGTAAACAAAACTATTAAAATACAACTGGTTTTATAGTAGCTTTCTATTTAAGTGGAGGAAGTATCACATGCTTGTAATAAGTTGCATGTTCATGGTGATGAAAAATACAGGTTGTTTTTTTTTTTTCCACTCTATAGAAATCAGTAATCCTTGTCATTCTTACTGTGGGAGATACTAAAGGATTGGGGGCAAATTTCTGCACCTCTTGAATTTGTAAAGTTATAGAAAATCTGAGCAACAGTTACTTAAATGCTTTTTATAATTAAAAAAAAACTCACATAGCAGACAGCACATTCAATCTTAGAGAAGTGACATATTTTAAGAGACAGTTCCTATCACTGTAGGTAAGTATACACCATTAGCACTTTAGAATAGAAGTATCTGTGCAATACATAAGCTCAGACCTCTCTTTGTGGCTAACACATTGATGGATTAGTTTTATGGATTATCCTAGTTCCATTCCATTCCTCCTTGGAACACAGCTAGCTTCCTGCCCCCTGAGAAAGATGTATCTTAACTTGTTCTTGGGACTTGTGTTCCGAGAATGTCTGAGAGAGGACTCATTGGCTGTGCAAGCTGAGGTATAGGTTACCTTAGGGCTTAACAACGACAGGACTGTTGGCAGCACCCAACATGCTATGCTGGTTTTGGTTCCCAGCATCATGACATTCTTTTGAGAGCAGGCCCAGAAATTTATTATCCTGGCCATCAATATCCAGCTTAAATATTGTCCTCTTCAATCCCACTATTTTAGTGTTGTCATATTGAGCTGGTTGGTTACATTTGTGAAGGAGGAGACTCCTTTTCCTTGTCTGCAATACAGCTCTGGGAGTTCCAGGGTCTTCCAAGAGAGGATATCTCATTCCTGACATGTTCACCAAGAAGAGGTGATGAAGCCTGTGTAGTGTGTGAAGATTAGCTTCATTATCATACTATGGAATGAGTTATTATGTGTGTTATGGAATACCATCTTACAGGATAGAAATACTGTCCTTGTTATCAAATGGAGAGTCCAAATCTGTACATCAGCGAGGGATAGTCAGTGACTTGAATTTCAGTTTCTGCAGCACTGTGAATACAGCAGTCATTTAGAGACCTGGGTTTGAGACTCCAGATACTTTGAAAGGACAGTGGTTCATTTTAAGCCAGTATTAAATTAAGGGACTAAGTATTTCACCTTGCAGATGGGTGAAGTGCCCTCTGCTTTGGTTAAGTTAAAGACTCTGGTTGGAGACTTACCTTTTTGCTCATATCTACCCATTGTTTTCATGACTACTTCTGGAATTGATTTACTCTCTAGCTCATTGGTGAAGATGATGATGATTATTCTTTAAGCAATGTCTGTTTTGGCAGAGCCTTCTGCTTCCAAACACCATATGAGAGTGTTTACTTTAGAGTCTTACCTGTTTCTGCAACTGTTTTTTTTCTCTACTCCATTTTTAGAGACATTGTCTTTCATTGCAACTTGCTGTGGACTAACTTCCTACTGTATCATTTAGTCCTGGAGACATCAGTTGTATATGTTTCCACCCTCCAACCTTGTTTATCTGCTTCACACATAAAGGGTAATGAATAAATACTTATACCTCTTGGGGCACAATACAGGGCCAGAGGCAAGTGCTATGTGGAGTGAATTTCCTAAGCATGTTTTATTCAGCAGAGTACATATCCAAGCTTAATCTCACCGTAGTAACAAAAAAAAGAGGATCTCTGAAGATTTGGAAAAAGGATCTTGGCTGAGAGATCCTTTTGGGGGAAAAAATGTTTGGAATCTCCAGGAAAAAGAACGATTTTCCTCAGTTTTCCCCTGATGGGAATTTTTAAATTTCTGTTCTGTTCTATCCCATTCCAACGTTAGAAAATTCTTCATGGGTCAAAAAGAGCAGAGAAGTTGATTTATAAGTAATAACTTACAGTATTGCATTCTTCACAATACTTTCTGTATGTAACAAGTATTTTAGATTAATTTGTTACAGAATTTCATACCATTGAGAAATTCCAATTTCTGTATGTAATGGACTACATTTATTGGCAGGTCTTTAAAGTGCTCTGTTAATTATTTGCAATGAGATAATTTTTCTAAAGAGAGAGATCATGTTTATTTAACGAGATTTTCTATATAAGTACATCCTTCCTATTAATTTATGACAGGATGCTACTATTATAAGTATTGTATTGTTGATTTTTATTTTCCTTTTTTTTTTGTTCTTACTGAGATTGAGCAACTAGCAAACAAAAAAACATGAACTTTAAAGTAACCTCAGTTTGCAACACAGATCCATCTGTAAGATGAGCCCAAGTTTAAGCTATAAAAAAAAAAAGTTACTTTTTTTTAATAACTAATTACCTACCGGTACATTCTGTGTGCTAGCTAGGTTATGGTCAATACAGTTCACTTTTGATAGGGAAGTTACAGTTTCAGTTAAAGATTCCTAAGAGCAGGGATCTTATTTTCGGGGGAGATGGAGATAGGGAGACAAAAACAATGCATGTATGCATTTATCTTAAGTCTGGTTTGGAAGCTGTTTTAAAACAAGTCATAACTAAGGAGGAAAATGCATTCTTGTTCTATCAGGTGATTCTGGTGCCTCAGCTCAGTTGTCTGGGAGTTACCATTCACAGTGTCCCAAGGAGAACACACTTGTTAAAACATTTTTTTTTTGTTTCTTTTTTTCTCATTTAAGGAATACTTGGAGAAGTTTGTTCCTTTAGAAGCAAAAAAGATGACTTGTTTTTAACAGCACAGCCTGAATTTGCAGATGCTGTTTCAAACAACCAAATAAAGTATAGATGTTGGTGGAAGTAATTTTGTACACCTGAACTAAAGGGATTTCGCTGGATGACTACTTGCCTGTTATTGTCATTGGCAAGTCAGAGGTAATTTCCGAAGCTGTAGTCTGGCAGAGGACTAGTAATTGCTTTTATGTGTATTTTTCAAGCCAAAACACACACTTTGCTTTTACCAGTGTTTTTACAAAGATTCAAAATTACCATAGCATTGTTGCTGAAAAAAAACAGTTCATTTACAAAAAAAAAAAAAAGGAATTATGAAAAGAATGGTGACACCTGAGTGGCACACAGAAAACTTGTCAGCTGAACTCCTGAATCTGGCAGAAATTCAAAGTCTGATTTGTCTCTAGTAATTCCATTAACATTTCAAAGATTGGTGATGTTCTGGGAATTACACAGGAGGGATTATTTTTTAAGTTAAGAATTAGTACTCCAAAGCTTCGCCTGCACTAGGAATATTGTTGCTATCTTGCAAGAGGTAAATGGACTATACGTGAGACACTAAGTTCTCTATCAGATATTTTTCTACTTTATCTGTACTGGCATAATTAAAGTATCAGCCTCCTTTCACTGTAGTATGAATAGAGCTGTATCAATATAAAACTGTATATACTGGGAGCATATTTCCGCATAGAAGGAAACAACCTAGGAGAGGTGGCCCAGTTCCAGAAATTGTTTTTAATTATGTTGCAGTTGCTATGCCTGTATAAACTATTTGTATTGGAGACCTTATACCAGATGAAAGTGACTTCCTTCTAGTTTATTTGCCCTTATCCATACAGCCCCATAAAAATTTACACCGCTTCGGTTTCATAGACTTGATTTGCCTTTGTGGGCAAACTTGCTCTTTACACTGACTTACCTCCATTTATGCTAGAAGATATAAACGGTGAGTGTTTTGACAATGAAAATACTGCATCTTCCTTTCTGATGTAAGCCTAATCTGTTCAATTAATACTAGAACAAGCACAGTTGACTGTGAAGGTTAGAATATTTTCATCTGGCTGCGTGCACCAGAGTCTATGGAGCAGCTGTCCCCAACCCAAATCCTAAAAACTCTCTGTAATTCAGTGTGGAACACAATGTTTTACGTAATCCTATCAACTTTCAACTACTGTTTTACAGATCAGTGTCTTGCCTCACTTTCCTGCTGTGTAAATGAATCTTATCCAGCATGCGTTACCTAAGAAAGAATTAGAAAGGTTGAAGTCAGAATATCAGAACTCGGACCACATGTGAATAAGGCTGATCTGCATGTACTTGTTCTATAAAGATATTGTTGAGCAGATTCAGATGATCTCTTTTTTAAAGCTACAGGAAAGATCTTTGATCCCATGTCGAAAGGTGGGGAGGGGATTGTGATGGGGAAAAGTCTGAAAATCAGTATAGCCCTCTGCTCTAAGCCTGGGAGCAGTAAAGAAAGGACCTTGTCAGAGACTAACTCACAGGAACAGAAAGAGCCAAAAGCCCAGCGACCTTTGATCATTCAGAGAACATTCACTAGCTTTAATTAGGTGCTGTCTATCCTATGCTTATTGACTGTTTCTTCCACCCTCTTGCTGTCCATTCTTCCTCTTTACTTCTGCTTCATTCCTGCTTACTATGTATGCTTCCCCTCACCCAATCTGCCCACCTTACCCTGTATCTCCTATTTTGTTTACAAGCAAAAGCCACCGAAAAACTAGAACCATTGTTACATTTACTATGGTGCTGCTGTTTGTGCTCTGTGTGAACTTTTCCCCCTGTTTGGACTGTTGTTTTTAATATGCTCAGGGACCTTTTGCTGTTCTGTGTATATACACTATCCAGCATAATGAAACTTCAATTTTCATTAGTCCTTAGAGGACCTTAACAATGATTAAGAATAATGTTCCTTTATTTTGCTCTTTTATTAAAATAATTTATAGGCAAATGACCACCCTTAATGAGATGAGGTATATGAGATTTCATGGGGTAAAAGGAATTTTGCTCTTGCAGTTTTTCTATAGGTGAACTGGTGATATAAAAGTATAATGTTACAACTGTGGTTATGTTAGTGTCCGGCATAATACGATGAACATTTCAGAATTAATTTTATATTGACTATGTTTGCATTGCACTTGCAGTGGTTGGCAAATTGCTGTTTGGTTTTGCGTGTCTTACAGCTATATAATTTGGTTTCTAGAAACCATTTTGGTAGGTGTGGGTTGCTTGTCAGAAATCCGTTCCAAAGCTAGAGTGCGAAGCAAGAAGAGTGCTAATGATGAATATGAATGGATATCTTAAGGATAACAATGGACACGGCATCTTCAAAAGCAGTGGCATTCTGGTAAGAATTTGCGTGTAATTTATTAAACACTACTCGATAATTTTCAATAAAATGTGTTTGTGTATCTCTCTGAAGATTTGTGTGATGAATTTTTGTTCTAAAATGTGAAAAGAAGAAGGATTGCTCTATATCATGCAGTATTTTAAATTCTGAAGCAGCGTACAACAACTTTACTTAGCAGTGACTTCTTGCATATAAAAACAGTGAAAGTATCTTTTTAGAAAAGTAAGTTATTTTAGAGAGGCAGTTAGTGGCCATTTATGGCTCACTGTTTGTGAGCCTGTTTCTCTGAATATTTAGAACTGAATATTTTTGAACTGTTATTTTAAAAAACCCAGCTTTTTCTTTTTTCACTCAGAGTATGTTATAACTAACCCCTGGTGGCATATTTCACCACTACACATGTAACTGTTCTAACAGGCATTGCATCCAATTTTGCAGGAGATATGAAACACGTAATTATTGACAAACTAATCATAACTGGAAACTTTTAATCCTCATATAGGTTAAAAAACATATAATGGCAGCATGCTAAATTACTATACTGATACTACTTCGTTGGAAGTTTCACAGTGTTTAAATAATGTACACAATTAGAAAATGCAAATAGAAACACCAGCAAAAGTGCTACTGTAACTGTACTATAGTAGAAGTGATTCCTTTTAATTTAGTATTTGAAATAACTTAGGCAAACAATTCTTTACAGAAAAATTCTTGTTTTCACCAGAGCCAAGTATATTCATACCTGTGTATATATTGACTTGTTGAAATCCACAAAGAATTTATGCCTCTTTTTCTTCCTACTCTTTGAATCCCACTGGTGGTTGATATTGCAGTGGAACTGATCTGGTAGCAGCTGGCAGTTCTTAAAGCTTCTTTGTAAGGGTATTTCGAGGTGCTGGATATGTATATGGTATGTAGTAATGAGCAGCACAGGCGTTGAGTGCTCTTCTAATGAACTAGTTTCATAGCTGATATAGCTGTTCCAGCAGTGCTACTGCCAGTGACACTGGGGTTTTGACAAACTTTAAGAACTCTTTAATTTTCTCATGCCATGCAGAAAGCTACGGTGGCTCAGGAGTTGATTCACAAGCAGATTAGGCATTAATCGGATGGAGTGTGTTGGTCAGAGGGGTGGTGGTTAATGTCTGAGACTGGTAACAGCATTTGGTCCAGTGCGTGCCTGCCAGAGGCCTTAGCCCTGTTCAGAGGCAAGGATAAGGAGCTCAGATGCATCCTTGTGCCAACACGGATACTTCCCATGGGCACAGGATGAGAGCAGGAAAACAGTAGTGTATCCTCGGGGGGGCAGAGTACCAGCTAAGCTGACAGAGTCCAGCTGTACTGTGCTCAGTTGCACAGTGTGGACATGCATCATAACAGGTGCCTAAGGCAGTGTTAATTGAAACAAAGTATCCTCACTAAGATACTGGGAGAGGAAGTACAGGGGATGCCTGGTGGGTGAGCTTCTAAGAGGTCTGTGCCAGACTCCAAAGGTCTGATATAAGTGTGTAAGTTAGACCCGAAAAGATCAATGTAAGCAGTCTCCTTATTTGAAATTAGATGGGTATGGAAGGTGACTAATAGTGACTTCTATTTAATATCCCTTTCTGTAACTCTCAGCTTTTCATTTTTACTTTCTAGATGGGAGGGAGATAAAATCTGGCCCTCAAAGTGCTGTTTACTCGTTCCAGTGCCAAAATGCAAAACACAAATCAGCAACTGTAATTTTAGGGCATACTAGGTTCCTTTAGCTGCACTGTACAAATATGCATGTTAGATATATGAATATAAGCTTAGATACCTGTTTCTATGTATTTATAAGTGGTTTTTAAACTGTTGTAATTCTTTGGGCTAATATAGTAACTTGGGATGAGGAAGTTAGGCTGCTTACAACTTTTTTTTTCTTTTTTTTTTTTTTTGCCAGGCTAATCTTTCACTCAGATTCATTGCACGGCAAGTGTTTGGTTAGTTATTTTATCTTTCTACATTTTAAACCAACATCTAGGGGGGGGAAAGGGAATTATATCTTCTTAATTTTAAATCCCTCAAATTCTGAAGGATGATATCAATGAAGAGAAAAACCTAGGTTGCAACTTCCATGTCATAGAGGTATCTTACCTTAGTTGCAGTATTTATAAAGTCAAGTCTGTAGTGTCTTTTTCTGTTGATTTTTCGTAAGATTACTGACTGGTATTCTTTCAAGTAAAAACAGTTAAGTGATTGACTTGTAAAAGAGTTGACTGCTGTTTACTGCTTAATTTCTCTTTTGCTGAATCACTTCTGTGATATTGACTTAATTTGTGACACTTTAGTAGGTGCAAGCCTGAGGGGAAAAATGTTATAGTTCTTTCACAATTCATTAGTTTGTGGATATTTATGTTGTTTCCACACTGAATGACTCATATGTTAAATGAATATGCCAGCCTCAAGGCATGTCCTCACTATTGCAGCCCACAGTGAAACTTGATGCCATCACACATAAAAGTGTGGAAGATGCTCTTATGCCCATTTGAATCCTTGAGAAGTTTTGTGCACTTTGGACATGTGTGCTAGCAATTACTCAATATACATTCTTTCAAAAAGCTCTGCTTTACCATGTCTGATTGCTCTTTTTCACACAACTTGCTGAGTTTGTAAGCTACATCTGTCATGTGAGCATAAAGTGGAACTGAAAAATAGTGATTTTTATTTTTTTTTAATAAAGTGGCACAATTTCAGTGTATTCATTTCTGGACTATTTGATGAGAGACTATAGAAGTAGCTGATTTGCATTGCCACCTGTGTATTTTTTAAGTATTTAGACAGATTCAGAAATTGTTCTATTTGGGAAGTCGATAGCATAGATCTAGTGCTCTCCACATTGTAAAAACACTAATTAGTATTAGATTGAACCATTTGACCCATGGTTATCTTAGTTCTCCTTGAATTTTAGCTTTCTTACGAATTTAATTTTTCATTGTTCTATAATTGTGTGAAAGACAAACCAGATTTACCTATCGATAACATCAGATAAATTATCACTTACATCACAGAAGCTTCACACCAGAATGTTGCAAGAAGGTTCTTTAGTATCTGTAATAGGGAAAGAGATGCACACTCACAGCAGTGAGATGAGAGGAAAAGTTTTGAAAAGTACATGAAGTAAAATTTTTCTGATATTGTTTTGAATCATTAGGACAGTTGGGGGTTTTTCATGTGTCATATAATATTAACTCTAAGCTTGAATTGATTCATATATTGAAAATATGTGCATGGCTGCAGAATTTTTGTTCTCTATGTGACAGAACCATAGTTTTGATAAGAGTAAGACATTGCTGTGACAGGATAGATACAACATATCACAAGTCAGGTATTCTGGCTTTTAAAGAATGGTCTTGTTCTACTATACATGGTATGTAGTGGAGGAGTTTATGCCACAGTGAACAGATACATTCATGGGAAGACCACTCTTTAATATAAATTTTTCACTTAACACTACTCATGGCTGTACATTGGGTGCAACTTTTTCTGTTTATGTCCCTTTAATTTTCAGGAGGAGGTTGTGATTGCTCACCTAATTATTTTCACTGACGTGGAGCTTTTCTGTCCCATCCCTTGTCAGGTTTAGGCTTTAAGACTGTAAGCACATTAATAAAACTATACACAACTATTAACAAAATTGATCACAATTTCCACAGGAAGCACTGGAAGGTAATAAAAGCAACCATTTCAATCCTGTTTCTAATTCTAGCATTCGAGATAAAGTCATCTCAGGTCACTTAAGTGTCTCACTAAAATGGTATAAAATGTATAAAGATGTAACAATCCTACTGTTTAATCTTCAAGTGATGTCGAAGTATAGGCAAGGAGAGGAAGGAGGTAGCAAAGTGAAAATACCTCAGAAATTACTGCTCTGGCCAGGCTGATGTGTTTGAGAGGATGGAGTGTGGGTGCAGAGGGTGATATCTCTGCCTCTTATATAGCTGTATTTGCTTGTAATAAACCTAAGTAGCAAGAGCAAGGCAGAAAGCAGACATGCTGGTACATTCCACATGCACAAGTGTAAAAGCTGCCTCAGCAGACTGTACTTCTTGCAGTCTTCTCTGTTCTGAATCTTTGGCTTGTCAAGAGCCTTTCTTGGTTCGCTAGGGAGATCCTGGAATCTTGCTTGTGTCTGCTACAGCATGTGCAGTTTTAGTCCTACTCTCTCACTTTCCTACCTGTTTCAGAGCGTTTTTTTCTGTTCCTGTACTGTGTGATGAAGATGAGCAGCTCCAAGGCAAAGTTTAGGCGCTGAGTTTTGAGGAACAAAATCAGGATTTCTTACAAGCACAGAGGTGCGTCGATGTCAGGGGCTGCCGGTACCTCTTCCTTTTTCTGTCGAATCCTTCAATGCTTTTCTCCTGGGGTGCCGTTTTCACCCGTGGCTGTGCTCAGCTCTGCCAGTCTCCGAGCACGTGGAGGTTTTGCACGTTCAGGGGTTTCTCCATGAGATCACTGATCGAGCCAGCGCGGCCGGAGAACTCTCCCTGGGGATGGTCAGGGCGTCGCTTCGGTGCCTCCGGCCCGCCAGGGCCGCGGCAGCAGCGGGCGGGAGGCTCCTGCCCGAGCTCGGCGGCATTAGGACCCGGCGGCTTCTTCCTCCCTCCCTCTTCCCTCCTCCTTCCCTCCCGGCGGCCCCGGGGAGCAAGCAGCCGCCCGCAACCGGCCGGGCCCGGGCCGGGACCGCGGACGAGGGACCTTTGCCCGCCGCCCCGGCTGGTGCCTGGGGCGGGGGTCGCGCCCGCTCCGCGCTGGCTTCGTGTCGGTTTTCCTCCGCGCGTATGTAGCATAAACTTAAATCGTCCTTTAGTGGTTATACAGTGCATTGTGGCAAGTGTTCGTGTTCAGAAACGTGCCTTGGCTAATATTAAAATACATCCCATTTAATGCCTACATGATATTAACGCTACAAGGCAGGTATTCTACTTTCACTCCAACTACTGTGTCTCCTGCTGAACTCTTTACAGTATAATATTTAAAACAAGATGTTAAAAATAAGAATTCTGACCATTGAATTAAAGTGGAGCAGAAGCTGATATATTATCTGACACTTGGCTTCTATAGTGCCTGTCACAAACTAATGGCTCTGTTAAACTGTACATTAATCATCAACAACTTCAGAAATGTCTGTTTCAGTCCAGAAACTTTTATTACCAAATAAATAGCTTTGATACTGTTGGTGTGAACAAAGAATTGCCCTTAACAAGAAGTTCCTTCACACCTAAATGAAGTTAGTTTACACCTTCTCCCCCATGAATTTAGTTTATTGCTATTACCCACTGTTCACTTAAAATGGGGAAAAAAAAGCATGGGGCAACTTTGCAGGTAAACATACAGTGAAGTATATTTCAAGTTATGTGCATTCAAAATGTCCTATCAAGCATATAATATCTTTAGAAAAGAAAATGTTCCTTTTATTTTAGAAAGCGTGTTATTAAAATGATTGCGGGCAAAAGCTATGCAACTGAAAGGGAAATCTGCCATGTAACAGTTCATTCACTCAAATATGCAGTCTGTGAAAACAGCAAAACAGAGTAAGTTACACAAGGAGAATAATTTTATGTTCCAATATCCTGTTGGTGAATGACCTGCTGCATTCAGAACATAGATGGAAAGGTATGTTGCCTTTTGGGTTCAGAAATTTTATGTTGCCTTTGTGCAACCCGTTAGCTTGCTTTTATTTCAGGCAGTTTTTCTGTCATTGCAGGCAGCAAGGTCTTCTTAGACTCATAGCTGCACATTGACTGAAATTCCCTTCTCTGCCAGAACCAGTACCCATGTCTACATTTGAGTATCACTATGTGAAGTTCACGTAGCTCTTCAAATTTCCCAGTTTCTTGTGTCCTAGTACAAGCTGTGTGCTCTCTGTCCAAGAGAGTTCCCAGGCAGTCTTTCTGGTTCTGTATTCTCTATATTATTGATGTTTTGAGTCTTCATTTATACCTTCTACTGTACTGCGTGATGCTTTAGCCATTTACTTCTGCCCTGTTTACCTACCCTAGGCCCAGGAAGTGCCAACCTCCCGTTGACATTGCTGGCAGCCTCTCCTGTTCCACCACCTTCAGAAAATATAATATTCTCTTCACCTTCTCAGATACAATGGGAAAAATCAAATAAAATATATGAAGCCAGATCCTTACACTCTCTTTTGTTTTTACCATGCCTATCCTAGTAAAATTAGGACTCACTGCTCTTTGAGAAAAAATTATAATTTTCTGTGTGTTTTTGTAATGACTAATACAACAGGGCAGTGTGGATTTTAGTATGTGCAGTGACAATATGCGTTTCAAACTAAACCAGGATGATCTAATCAAGATAACCAGGCAGTAGAGTGGTGGCATACTAAGGATTTAGTGCTTAAGCTAATTCTAGCTACCTTGTTACTGGGTGATCAGTAAGTAGTCACGTTTTGGCTGCTTGTTAGCAAGATCTGTAATGAGAATGCTTGTTAAAATAATTCTTTAAAAAAGTGGTAAATGGAAAACTTCAGTGTCATGTCTTTGAAGGATAGACAAACTTCTAAGAAGCTGGCTGTGATTGTAAATCAGGGAAAATTGCATTTTAGGTAGAACCTGCAGTGAAGGAGAAAATGAGTTTATAGTCGTGCTGTTTTTCATTTTTTCATGTATTTGCCTTTATTGCTTCCATAAAAGCTTAATGTGCCCAAACTTCAGTTGTTTCAAAATCTTCTAGTTATGACTATACTGTTGTTAATGAGCTATTATAACATTTAATGCAAACTGTAGGAAACATTACTGTAACGTGAATAAAATTTTAATAATGAAATCACGTTGCTATTCTTTTTCTTTAATTGATATTTTTACACAGGGATTACTATATTTGTTTAAACCATAATATAGTTTCCTGTTTCACTAGTAAATACATCTAATGCTTCAGTTGATATTAACTCCAAATAAGTTGCTTCCTGATTTCTTTATGTAGTAACTGGTTTGATATCATCGATAGCGACATTGTATTTAGATTAATAACTGAATTTCCTTGACAATCAATATGAATGGATTACAGATGATGTGAAAAAACATTTCTTCTTACAGTTTTGAATTTTCCATACTTTGGATGTTTCTTTGTGTTGTTTTCTTGTGTTGTAAGATAGCAAGCATAGAAATGTCTGATCTGACCTCTTTACAGCAATTATTATTTTACGTGTTCATGCATAAGACTCTAGATTTTAAACTTCCTAATTTCTCTTCCTAGGAATTTTCCATGTTTATTATTGTCCACATTTGAACCCTATCCAGTTTTTTAGTACCCTTTTGGAGAAGGGGTGACCTGTACCTCATATGGGATTTTCTTTTTCTGGTAAGGTCAGAGCATTGATTTTTATAATCCTATTATGCTGGCTTTCTTCTAATTCTCTTCCATTGTTTAAGCTACCTGTTTTATTATTCTTATTTTGATTGTAGTGTGGTGTTGAGCAGAGACTTTCACTAAACTGCTGAAGTGGGCCCTGGTTCCTTCCTGAGGCCGAAGCAACTGGTGTACTTTCCTACTATGGCATAACTGACCTAATGAACAACTTCCATTAAACAGGGGCAATCCTACCACTGTACCATAGCATAGGACCAAACACATTTTTTAAATACACTTTGTAGTTAACTATTTGCTATTAAAGAAATCTGTTATAATGAAATCAATCATTTAATCCAGTATTTTGCCCTGTTTAGATTTTGGTCAGGTTTTGATCTACGATTGCATGTGTCCTCATTTTTTTGTTTGCTTGCTTCAGGATACATTCTTCTACTACTTCAGGCTTTGAAAGAACTTTTCTGTTATCTAGATCATTAGATCTGGAGCAAGAACTAGGTTATCATCAGTAGTAGTTGTTCTATTCTGTTTCTTTTTTACATGATGCCTAGTATGGCTTTTGCTTATTGTTTGTGTTAGGATAAGATTTCTAAATTTGTGTAGGACTCCTATTTGATTATTCAACTGATTTCTTGAAGTTCATTGTTTTTTCATAATGTTTTATTATCCTTTTCCCAGCAATAAGCATGTTTTTGGAGACCCTGAGAATTTCTTAGCATGTAAGGTATGTCAGTGGGTTTTGCTTCATAATTTTGGGCTTTAGGGACCTTTTTATATTACTGAAATCTCTTTTTTAATAGGGTAGATTTCAAGTTCACTAAGTTTGACAGGGAGAAGCGTACATTGTGGAGCATGAACTCTTCCACATGTATGAAGGGATTCCTTCCATTTCTTACTTTTGCTTTTAGCAGTCCTACATTTTACCATTTTCTCATCAATTATTTCAGAAAATAGCTTATGACATCTGTCATACACATGACAAGGGTTTCCATAGTTTGTTTCCTGCACTCTGCTTTTTCTGCCAAAAATTCGGTATGTGTTCTGGATCCCCCTATACCTTCCCATCGCTCTGATTCTCCCTTCTCTTCATTTGCTGTGTGGAATTGTCTTGAAGATTTGCCCATGATTCACACTGGGGAGAAAATAGCTGGTACCAGCCATGAATGCAATCCAGCTCTTTGTTATAGGATTGAGGAATTTAGGAAATACCAGAGTTGAAGTTGATGCACATAGCTGTGCATCATATACCAGGTATGTGTGTGTGTAATATTGTGATAATTATATGACCAGGTACTGTTTAATAAAATATTGGTTTGTGTAATTGTAAATTATTAGTTCCTATGATTTTAGGCACCACACAGACAAAGGCTGAAAAGATTATCTGCAGTTTTAAGTGCTGGCAATGTAAATATAATACAGTTGAAAATAGAAAATACACACTAATAAATATAATAATAAAATATATAAAATATAGATGAGAAGGGAAATGCTAGTAGTTAGGGGGAACATTCATACTTTAGAGATCCAAGTCAGATACCTAAATCAAAAGACTGATCTGCCTAGGCTATTTCCACAGCTTATACAGGGACTCCTTCAGGGAACAGTTTGGAATGTTTCAGGAGTTCTTGCAACCAAATCACTCTCAACCGGAGCCTCTCCACTTACTGTATAGTAGGATACGTCTCCTACATCTCACTCTTCATTACTTTAGACACTTAAAAATACGTGATATGTGTATAACTGCTTATCACGCGTTTTGCTCATATGGGCTGTAGGGTCATGTTAGTAAGCTGAATTTCAGAGAAAGCTTTGAACAACAGCAATGCAATGTGTTTTCAAATATTTAAGGGAGTTACCATAAAGTGTAAGGTATAAAACAGAAAAAGGCACAAGAAATTTGTGTGAAAATACAACGTGTGGGTGAGAGAGGAGCTGGAAACTGGACTCCTGATGCAAGAAGCATCTCTGAGTTTTATTTTTTTACCAGTAAAAAGTGGAGGGTTTTGAAAATGTGTTAGCCAAACACAAAATAAAAATCAAATTAGACGGTATGATCTAATGGTCTTTTAAGCTTTATGTTTCATGAAAATTGTCCCAGCTTCAAATGGGAGCAAACCACAGCTGTCTTCCTGACAGTGATTCAGGAGCAATAGGTGTGATGGTGAGAAGCAAGGATGGGCCTTGAAGCTGAAGACAAGTAACAGATGTTGCAGAAGTAGCCAGAGAGAGCTGTGGAGACTTATGTGTTCTCTAAGTGATCAACTAGGAAAAGGGTCTTTGCAGCAGTTTTCTGAGTGAATGCATGCAATATTAGGCTGTGTCTCTCAAAGGCAGAGAGAAAAAATGTTACTGAATCAAAACGTGATGATGATGATTAACCTGATTGTTTGAAAGAGTTAAGAAAAATACCATCTTGAAAATGTTGCACTGAAAGTATCTGCAAATTATGAATATGAATCTTGGGATTTGGAGTATATTTGGCATCTAAGGTGATGCTAGAGTTATATGTCTACGCAATAGGCAGGATGATGGTGTGGCTATGCAGCTTTGTGAGTGCCACCACCAATTAAGTCATTCATATGGAAACTGTATAGATCTGTCCTCAAATATAATTGTATTATTTATTATTAAGTTCTTCACTCCTACAATTGCTTCCCACATAATATTGCTTAGAATATTTCCCTACCTGCCACAAAGGGCTGGACGTTAATTGTTGAGTTTGATTTGCAATGTCATGGTGGGGTACCTAGAATGAAAAGATGTGGTTTGCATTTGCTGGGAAGCCACTGATCTTTTCATTTGGTTTACAGTAATAGTGAACACTGGATACAGTAATTTCTTTACAATTAAATTATTAAGTTAAGTCTTCTAGTAACTATACTCTGTAGTACTTCAGTAATAGGTAATTGATTCTGTTCCTCATCCTGATACTGCCTGATGATGTAAGAATTCTCCCCAAGACGAGGAAGCTTTCAGTTTACTTGAAGCTTTTATAGTCAGGTTCCATATCAGCCACAGTCACCTTTTGTTTCCCCCTTCAGCATGTCCCAGAACTCACAGGTTGAGAAAGGATACTGGAGAAAGGACAGAGGAAGTAACATCTGCTCTTGGCTAATTTTCCACTGGCATGTAGTCATATGGGCATGGTAGCAAACAGATATGAATTAGAATTGCTTCTAGGTATTTCTAACTTAAACCAGAGATGAGGCAACTTTAGTATCAAGGAGGCATAATCTGAAAAAAAAATCAAAGAGCTTTTTATTTTCTTTCTTGTTATTTTTATAATAGATACATTTCCACCAGGTGTGGAAATTTAAAGTGTTAATGCATTTTTGCAAGAGCAAGAAGAAAGGTTGTCTTAGGCATCTAGTAGTTAGGTGTCCAGATTATAAAGTTAACACTTGTAGTATGCTCAGGGAAGAGACATTAAAAAATTGCCTTTCCTCAGAAATGTAACTCTGGGAAGGAATTTGATATTAATAGCCCATCAACAGTTTCAAGTTATTCAGAGAAAGAGTAGTGATAGCCAGGTAAGACAGTAAATGACCCTTTGCCTGCTAAAAATTTGTGAAATCATAAATTTGTGAGCAAACGTGCCCTGCTTGCATGCTCAGCTCCCCAGCCATTGTATGTTTACAGAGCAACAGCCAGGTTTGAATCTGTAACTCTTTTGAGATAAAATAACCAAAATCTGACACCATTAGTGCAGTGTTATAGGTGCTTTTCCATGTACCAGTTTCGGACAGGCATGTGGTATGGAAGTGGGAATTCAACATTAAAATGGAAATAAAGATTTTGATATGTATCCTGAGCCAGCACTACTGACCCTAAGAAGACAAAACCATTACCTTTCTTCACAAATTTTGGAAATCTCATCTACCTTGCATATCCATGAATTTCCTTATGTATAAGTAGTCTAAGTAAAGTCAGTTTCTCGTCTTGGCAAAAAGGGCTCTAAATGTCCATTAGAAATAATAGCAGTCTGAGTCCTTACCTCTCCATCAGTGCTACAGGCAAACCAATGTCTCATTGAATTTCACATGTTCATATCCTCATGTATCTTGAGATAATTTTTACACTTATTAATTTATTTTATACAAAGGATCTTGCTGCATCTTAAGCCATCCTGTAGGAGATACAAAAGTAATCAGAGATAGTTGATAGTCTTGAACATTTTTATTGTGTAGAAAGTGTGTTCATACTGATTTATCTGGTTACATGCTGGTCTCTGAAGGCATAACTCTACTACAGTAACGGGAAGAATGGTATCATACTCCTGGACCTCATTCTGTCTTTGGTCCGGCTGTCTCAAAGAGGTTGTACCAGTGAAGATACAAGGTGCAGCAACATTTACAGGCACAATGAATTGGCTGTTACACCCTCCTGAGCTGACAGATACCCGTGGGAAGGTCATAGCTAGAGAGAAAGCATGAACCCTTTCCTGAGGTGGATGAAAAGAGCTGGTGTTGAAGTTTGGATGACACGATGCTCCGCAGTGCAGCCTCTGAGTCTGTGTGCTTGTTGCACCATAAACCTGGTGTTCCTGTAGTGTCTTTGCTGCTGCTGTCACACCCTCCTGTTGTACTAAAGTCTATATTTCAGTAGGCAAACCTCATTATAAAGGAGGCATTTTTGGAAACAGTATATTTTTTCATTGGCAGTTATATGATACTAGATGCATGCTACCATGGGGTTTTGTTGGAACATTAGGGAGAAACACTGCCAAGCTAGAACTTCTCACAACCTTCAGATAGGCATAACAATGACACTTTCTATAGAAATATTGTTACTTTCTCTCAGTTCTACAGTGTTTTAAAATATGGAGAGATTATCTCATGTTAGTTTTTACCACCACGTTTCTAAGAGGCTGAAAATCTATGTGTCTGGAAATTAATTGATGAAGATAAATGCATTACCTCTATTGATTTTAGACTACTCTCTTTTATGAAAAATAATAAAACAAATCATATATAACTATGAAAAAGCAGCAGCACGCAGGAGGTGAGCAAACACACTGCAGGTACTCATGTTTGCCTGAAGGGAAATACACTGTGACCAATTAATGCTGTATAAGCCTCTTGTTGTAAGATATCACTGTAGCCTTTCCTGTAGCTGCAGCATTTTGTGGTAAAAATGTAGATCTTGTCATGGTCTAGGCACTCAGATTATTTTTCTGTGACTAGTTTGGTGTCTCTTTAATTAGACCTGTGCACAGTGTTACCTGATTTCATTCTCTTTCTGTTTAGATATTTAGACCCTAATCCTGCCACTGGATTTGTTCAAATGGACCTTGATAGCTGTGGGGCCTGACTGAGTTGATGAGACTCCTGGATGACTGCAAGCTCCTACTCTGAAGATCTGATTGTAGGCCTGAACCTAAATTTCTATTTCCTTCCCCTGTCTACCTGCTTCTGATTGATGAAAATTATCCAAAAAACTGTATTGTCTTTGAGTCTTATGCACATCACTTTAGTAGCATTCAGAAGCTGTGTGCTTGGGATGTTGTCAGACATTGTTAAAATATTTCTGTTCCGTCATGTGCCAATATCTCATGATTGTTCTGATTGCTGTTATATTTTTACATTTACCGTCTTCCTACCTAAAATGGAGATCATCACCTGTGTTTTCGGTCACTGTGGTATTTCTCTTAACTCAGATTTTTAAGTCAGATTAACTGTTGAAACTATTCAGAACTTTTTTCAAGATGTGGGTAGATTTGTTTTTTCCTTGGCGGACACAGGGTATATCTATTTTATTTTGCAAACTTAGCAGCCTACTAGTACTGAAAGCTTTCAATATGGTGATACTCTAATGCAGATCAATAAAATAAGTAGGAAAAGGCATTAACTTTTACTAGATCTCCTGTTGCTTTTCTATTTCTGTGGCTGTGATTACATGACATACAGCTGAGAGTGAGGATATTTTTATTTTTTTTGTGAGCCAGTGAATATCTTTTGATTACACTGAGTGCTGTTCCCTGTGTATTCCGTATGACCATGTTGCAGTTTCACCAAGTACTAAAGTTATAGCCCTGGTAGAAGCAGGAAAGGACTTTGCAAAATCACATTAAAAGAGTTCGAGAAGGAAAACAGATCTGTTTCATCTCTATGCATCTTAGTATTTATTTTGTGTATTTTTTAAAAGGCAAATACGTAGCAATATGTGATAACGTATTAAAAGATCAGAACTTTCTCAGTATATAGAGAATGAGAAAAACCTTTTTTGTTTTGTTGGTTTGTTACAGTGCTTCTGTAAGCACTGTAAGCTAAGATCTTCACAGTATTTGATGAATTTTTGCATATTCTCAGAACAACAGAAAAGCATCACTGTCCTGTTTGACCAAGGAGAAAATTGAGCCACTTGTTCAGTCAGTAGTAAAGTCAATGATATTAATTGGGTTCTCCTGTCTTTTAACCTTTTGCCTCCGGCTCCATTTCTCCCTCAAGAGCCAAACCTTCCATTATCATCATCTGTTTTACATTTCTGTGTGAAAGGCCCAAGGTGTTACGGTTTGGACTCCCAGAAAATGAGGAAGACAAGGTTGGTGGCCATCTGCCAAGGTGCTTGGTCTGACTTGCTCCTTGCTCACAGAAGCTGATGGCAAAGGCAGAACTGAGTGTTCCTGTGTGGCATTCAACTGCCTTAACCACATGCCCATCGCTCTCTTCCTGTAGTTGTCTGTCTTGTTCTTTGCATAACTCCTAGAGCAAACACATATACCAACCTATAAATAATCTAATTCGATACACAACCCTGATTCATTTCCTGAGCTGCATGTCCTGCATACACAGGGTGGCCACGGTCCTGTGCAAAAATTCAGCAGGGTGCATGAGGCCGAATACTAAGGCTGTTAAGTATTTAAACTTTGCAATGAAATGGCGTTCCTTTAATGTAGCTTATTATAGATATAGCTTGAAGTATTTTTAACAAGGAACAAGAGAAAAATGAAGGCTTTCAGAACTGATTGTAACAGTTTCCCTGTCTGGCATGTGGACATGAATATCCAGCTCAGTGAAATACAGAACATCAGCCAGTGGGAGGAGGCTGGCCACCTCTGGGGAGGAAGGGAAGGAAGAAGGCTGGGTAGTAAATGCCATGGGTATACCCAGTTTGCTTTCAAGTCTCAGGGAATATTTGTGTGGCATTGACCCTAGCTTTTTAGCTTTTGTTTTCTTTTCAGAAGAATTGCTCCTTCAGAATTGCTCAGTGCTATAGACATTTGGGGGTGTTCCTGCAGTCTGCTAATAATTTAAATGGAGAAACAGAAATCAAAGGTGGGCTTTTCTCCTGTGTTCTTCTGTTGGAAGATAAGAGGAGATGCTCCCAGAGTCTCCCAGTTCTCTCCTCAATGAATTTCAGGGGCGATCCGTGTGATCCTGGATTTCACTTAAATAATAGAAAATACTGCTCTCGACTTGCCCCTTTAGTCTTCTTCCCAGTCAAAACGTAGTGGCCTGCTGTGTTTCTAAGCTACCAAGGTGTGTAGGCTCCAGTGCCAGAGCAGTCTTGTTGGGAATCACAAACTTATGTCTCTATCTTTTATGTTAGACTTTATTAGGAGGATAAGTTTTTTTCAGAGAAATCTTGCCAGACTGTGGGTTCGGTTTCAGTTTTTGTTAATGTCTACCTTATCTGTCGATGGCACTTGAGATTTGGTCACCAAGCTAGTGATTTGCTCTGAGGAAAACAGAACAATCTCATACTTTGCTTTTGCATGCTTTTCCCTAGGATATGCAGTCTTTCCCCACAGCAACTTCAGATGTCCTGTAAACAGCTCAGGTGGGGACCCTATTAGGGAAAATTTGTTCAACCCATTCACTGAAATTCATGAAAATCAAAATGCTTGCAAAAGGGTATCAGTTCCACTGTCATTTTGTTGCAAAGAAAAAATGAAGCCCCTGCTTTTAACACTGTGGTTTTTTAATAAGTGTCAGTTTTCATCATTTCACAGCTGTATAGAAATTGTGGGAGCAGGATGAAACAGTCTTGATACAAAAGAATCACCTTAAGCCAGTATCTCAAGTCAACACTTTGTATCGTGAAACCATGGCCTGAAACTGCTGCCTGTCATATCAGATAATATTATCATTGATTTATTATTTTACTTCATCTTACGTATTTTTGTAACCTTTTGGCAGCAATGGGTTTTTTTTCTGTTTTGTTTTTTTTTCCTCTTGTTTTTGGCATCGGGGGTCTTTTTTGGAGAGGAGTGGGTGGGTTGGGTTGGTTTTTTTTTACCAGCACCTACTTGAGCCCTGATCCATGGCTTGGCTTCCAGGCACTAGGATAATACAAGTAGTAATCATACCTGCTGCTAAAAATTTTCTAACTTATTTCATTTGCATTTGTTTGCCTTCAGCTTCCAGTCATGGATTCTTGTTATTCCTTCTCTGACAGATTAAAGAGCTCTTTAGGACTCACTATTTTCTCCCCAGGAAGGTGCTTTTACCCTGTAATCAAGTTACTTCTCAATTTTTTTTTTTTTTAAGAAACAGCTAAACAGATTGAGTTTTTTATGGTTCTTAATATTTTTTTCTCATTCTCAGATTATTTTTGTGGCTCTTTTCTATCCATTCTCTATTTTTTCTTTTAAAAAAAGAGACATAAAACTGTATTTTACTAGTCACATATACAGAAGTAAAATTACTTTTCTGGTTACTCTTGTGTTAGTATGGTTAGAAATTGATGTTTTTGCAAGGTTAGATAAAGTAACTACCTGATATGACTTCTACATGTCTGAGTGTAATTATTAGAGGACAGAAAATGATGTATTGTTTTAAAAACATTTAAATGTTTTTCAATGTTTTAAAATGATCCAAAAATCAGCAAGAGTGGGTGTGTAGAAGGGGTTGCAAAATATTTGTGTGAGGTTTTTAAGGAGATAGAAGTGAAATAAAAATAATAATTGTAAAGCAACAGTAATTAATCAAAACTTAATTGCTATGTTTAACACAGTGATACGTATTTGCTGAAATTTTATAGGACTGAATGAAAAACCTTTTAGTAACAGACTGTTGCAGGCCACTGGAAAGAGAGACTGAATGGATGTGAATATACACATCCTTTACATCCATATAATCCCGTAAGTAGCTACTTGCTTATATTTGGAAACCCAAGAACAGTTCTGTGATCTGTTATGCTGTAACAGAAGGAATAACAGTATTGAGAATTTCTTTTGTTACAAAAGCTGTCACCATTAAGTTATATAAGAGTTCAAACAATCAAAATTCACAGCTTCAAAGAGGCTCTTGAAAGTTTTACTGCTTCAGTACTTCTTTCCAAAGGAGTGGCTATTAATTTTTATTTTTATTCATACTTGAAGACAAGGTTGAGTTAAATTTACATGAAGGAGACTAATCAGATGCCTGCCTGGTCAATGCATCTCAGCTTACCCAATGACTTTTATGCATATCATGCATATCAGCATCTGAATTGAATCTGCACTCCCAGCCCCACACTTGTCCCCCTGGAAACTATCAGATTTTCATTATATTGAACTACAG